AGATCCACAGCTCAACTGTCCTCTGAGTCAGCAGGGGGAGTGAGGCACGGGACCAGGGCTGGCAGTGGCTGCACTGGGTGACAGTGGTGCATGGGAGGGTAGCTGAAGGAGAAGGTAGTGTCCCTCTGGAACCTGTAAGGAGCCCCGCTCATTCCACTGAGCCCCAGTGCGCAGCAGTACAAGGCTTAGCTTGAGTGTGAGGAAGTTGAACCCAGATGTTCAGTTCCTTTATTTTCATCTTACTTTATTTTTACATTTTGGAGAGCATTTACCAAGTAGAGTCATCCTCCATTTTTGGCTAAAATACCACCCCCCACATCTCAAACCCAGGATACTCACATTTAAGTCATTTGTATAAAACAATTCATTGTTTTACATAGACTCCACGGATAGTCTCCATACACTTTTTTGAAACAGGGTCTCATGTAGCCCAGGCTAGCCTTGAACTCACTTTTTTTTGAAACAGGGTCTCATGTAGCCCAGGCTAGCCTTGAACTCACTTTGTATCTGAGGATAGGCTTGAACTTTTGATCCTCCGGCCTCTACCTCCCAAGTCCTGGGATTACGGGGTTGTGCCAGTCTGGCTTATGGAGCACCAAGGGTGGGAGTCAGAGCTAAATGCATGCTAGATGAGCACCCACCCTCTCACCTGAGCCACATTCCCGACCCCTGAAGGTTCTAGGATGTTCTCTGCCTTCTCTTAGGGTCTAGCCATCCTTGGTGGCCTCTGGAAGAAGGCCACCAAGCGTCTCTGCTTTGTTGGCCATGTGGGGGTCTCCTCAACAGCACACTCTCTTCACGGAGTTGGTCTGTCTGTGTCCGTCCTTATAAGAATGGCGTGTTGGATTGTGAGTCTGCCCGCCCTCAGGGTGACACAGGGGAACTGAACTCGGAGACCTGTGCATACTGGGACCGTGTTCCTACCACTGAACTACAACCCCGGCCTGTTGTTTGAGTCTAGGATGACCCTCCAAGGCTCCCGTTTTGAGTTCTGAATGCTCCATTTCCAGATATTTTGAAGGGTGTGGAGCTTTTAGGAGGTGAGGCCTGACTGAAGAAAGCAGGCTCTAAGCCTTTGAAGGTTAGGGCCACTCTGGTTTCCATGGCTCCCCCTGCTTCCTGCCTCGTGGAGCCACGAGGAACTCTCAGCACTAGCTCTGTCTTTCTGAAACCCGGAGCCCAAGTGCACTTCTCCCCCTAAGACGTTTCTGTCATATGGTTTTTCAGAATGACACGGAAAGTTAATACTGGGGGCAGGGGGGCGCCAGGAGAGATGGTTTGATGGTTAAGAACCCTGACTGACCTTGCACAGGAACCTGGGTTCAATTCCCAGCACCCACGTTAGGGGCTCACAGGCATCTGCGACCCCAGTTCAGGGGGTACTGATGTGGAGCGGGACAGACACCAAGCACTGTCTTAAGGGACCAGAGGATAAGAGCTTGGCAGCGCAGCAGGACTGCTCCCCTCTGAGCACCACAGCTCGGCCAGCCTCCCTAGGCCCTCAGGGGATGCCCACTCAGATGCCTGCAGGTAGGGACCGGACCGCCATCTGATGTTGCTGAATACCTAGCCAAAGCCCCGGATGGAGCAAGCCACAGGCTCAAGACCCAAGGTCTCACAGGCCCAAATCTAGGTACCTCCCACAACAGGACTCTTTCCCTGGGGCCGGCTCAGTTTCACAGGGGAACACCCTGTGAACCATCTTCAGGGACAGTCATTCCTTCACTGTGGTGACACTGGCCTAGTCCTCCTGTGGTTTGCCATCCACCTGGAGCCAGTAAGAGTTCCTCACACTTAGCCTCCAACCCGCTGGAAAGAATAAATATTGTAGGCTTTGCCGCCCGTCTGTTTCCATCAGTCTGCTGTGTCGTTTGCATGTTGTTTGTTACTGTTCTTGAGACCATCTGGGCTGCAAAGCCCAAGTTTGCTGCCTGGCTCTTCCCGGCGGCGGTCTGCCAACACTGCCAGCCACCAAACACATTTGTTCTTCCCAGTATTGAGGACTGAACCCAAGGCCTTGAGCAAACAGACAAGCGCCCCACCAGTGAGCCTCAGGCGCAGCTCAGAACATCTTTCAAATCTGTAAATAACCAACACACACACTTTTCAGGGCTGCACGTTGCCTCCCTTCCATGGCAGCTTCCTGGGGAACTCCAAGCCCTGTGTGACCCGCTGCCAAGCCCAGCCGGTGATGTTTGGCTAGCAAGGAAACAGGCATTGCAATCTGTCCATCGGTTCTTCAATGGACGTGCACCCCCTTGGCCCCCACATTAAAGTGAAGGGTGGTCTCCTGTTCCAGGTGACTGGGTCCCTGCTTACAAGGCTTGTAGCCCTAAGCAGCTGTGCACCAAGAACTCCGTGAAACCACTCCTCCCCCGTAATTATAGTTTCCAGAGGTTTACTGGGGGTAAAGAATTCCTGTCCTGCCCGAGGCCATTATAGATCCAGCTGGGCTGAGGGAGGTAAGGGGAGCGCAGGTGGCAAGATCCAGGAAGCAGTTCCAACCCGGAGCGGGAGAGCAGTTTTTCTGGTTCCTGGGCTCTGTCAGATGCTTCAGTTTGACTTTCTTAGGTAGCAGCCCTGTAGGGATTTGCAGGTGACAGGGGGCTCCCTTGGGGCCCATGCAGAAGCCTGTCTTTGGAAAGTATGGCCTTTCTTTCTCTACTAGAGAGGAATTAGAAGCTTTGCAGCCATCGTCTTGGACTTCTGCCAAGTTGTCTTAACGCTACTGTCACCAGTGCCTTCCCCTGACCCCAAAGGACCTCTCATACCTACGATGGGAGTTTCCAGAGTGAGGCACCCCAAAGGCAAACATCGCCTCCTGCTTGCTTTCAACTGCATGGGCCAAGACTGGAGAATGAAGATACGATTGTTATTTTCAATTCCAAATTTGAGACGGTGCCGATGTGTGATATTGTTGGGGACCACCAACCAAGTCTGCTGGGAGTGCACCTACTGTGTGTGTAATACAGTAATACAGCTATCCCCAGACAGAAGCCCCAGAGAGCTGCTTAGCTGGGACAGGAGGCAATGGAGACTGTGTGTCAGGGCGAGGAACCAGTCGTAAATTGAACAGGGGAGAAGCTGGACAAGCTAGGTACGGGGACACAGCAGCCTGGAGTCTCCACTACCCAGAGAACTGAAGCAAGAGGATGGTGGAAGCCCAGAAGCTGGTCCTTACCTCAGCTGTGCATGGTGTCACATGCTTCTAATTCCAGTACTTGGGAGGCTGAGACAGGAGGATTGGTTCATGTTCTAAGCTAGTCTGGGCTATGAAGTGAGACCCTGTCTAAACAAAATCAGGCTGGGGGTATAGCTCAGGCAAGGGTGCTTAGCCTTGCCCCTGGTCAGCTGTAAACTTCTCAGAGCATAACCATTGGCTAGAATGCCTTTCAGTGGGGTCAGCAAGAGCTGCCCCCTCTTCTGACTGTGAGCAAGGCTGGTTTTTGCAGTCATGGGACACGTGGTAACCAGAACAGGTCAAAGTGGCCTGTGCTAGGGTGTAAACTCAACTGGGAGGATGCCTGCCTCGCATGCAGAAGGCCCTGGGTTTGATTGTCACCACTGCACAAACCAGAGGTGGTGGGGCACGCATGTAATGCCAGCGCTGGGGAAGTAGAGGCAGAAGGATCAGGAGTTCGAGGCCTGTAGCAGCTTGAGGCTAGCCTGGACTGCTTGAAACCCTATTTTGATAAACAAGCAAGCAGGCAAATAAATAAATAAATAAATGGTTTTGAGTCTATCTGTTCTGTATGTAATAGGACAGCCATGGCATCCTCTCCAGAAGGTTAAATAAAAGAAATCAAAACCAGGTCTGCCTCCGCTGTGGAGGGTCAGGGCACGTGTACTTAGGGTTTTGGATGAGATCCAAAGAGTAAATAGAAGTGGTGCAGGTTGGGGGCTTTGTTCTTTCATTCTTTGTTTTGTTTGGAGACAGGGCCTTATTATGCAGCCATGGTTGGCCTGAAACTCACTGTGTAGATAGACTAGGCTGGTCCCGAACTCACGGAGACCAGCCTGTCTTTGCCTCCCAAGTCCTGGCAGCTCACTCTTGGATTTCAGGACAGTATGTAGGCTCTGCGGAGACGCTCCTGTTGATGCTCCTGATGATGCTCCCTGTTCTTAACTCCGCGCTCCGAGCAACTGCAGAGCCCTTCGCCTGCTCTGCCTCCATCACCAGTGTGGGTCCAACAGTCCCTCCACCTTGGTCCCTCCCAGCTCACTTCCTCTTCTCCCCCAGTCAGGCTGATGTCTCTGGTCCCTGCCACCTCCCCTCAGGCCTCCCTGAACTTGTCCCTGTTCTGCCTGTTTTCATTTTTACGGCGCATACTGAGTTTTCTGATCCGTGGAACCTGGAGCTCTGTCAGGCAGAGTCATGTCAGGCAGAGTCCCTCCTGGAGCTCCCTGAACACGAAGAACCCACGGAGCATCGCAGCCACAGGCGGGCCAAGCCATCGAATCGCAGCTGTTTCTGAATAGAGTGGTCGCCCCCAACTGTAGCATGAGGGCTGGCTTGTTGGGGTTTCTGTCCCACCCAGTACCCCACAACTGGCAAGCCCAAAGAAAATCACACACAGGACTCCATAAGATTATAAACTGATTGGCCCATTAGGTCAGGCTTCTTGTTAACTCTTATAACTTATATTAACCCATTATTCTCATCTATGTTAGCCATAATGGCTCCGTACCTTTCTCAGCTGGGCAAGTTACATGCTGCCTCTTCAGTGGTCTGCGCAGGAGTGGCAGAGGAACCTCTCTGCTTCCCAGAATTCTCCTGTTCTCATTGCATCACCTCTACTTCCTGTCTGGTTTTCCCATCTTTACTGCTTGCCTGGCCAATCAGCGTTTTATTAAAATATGATTGACAGAATACAGACATTTTCCCACACCCAACCATTCATCAAATTTACACTGAAGTGCAAATTCGTGATTGTGTGGACACTTCCACACTGCTGTAGAAGAGACGGTCAAGTCACACCTTTGAAGTCAGAGACTTCATGTCTAGTGGGAGGAAGCTTGACTGGAGCTATGGATGGTGTGAACGACTGTAGTACAGTGTGAAAGATTGTGTGTGTGTGTGTGTGTGCGCACACGTGTGTGTGTAGTGTGCACGTGTGTGTGTAGTGTGCAAGGTACATGTGTGTTTGCACCCATGTCTCCCTGTGCCTCTATCTTGATTCTACTGGATCAGGTAGGTTGTGTGCCTCCAGCCCCGCCCCACAGGGCCATCCTCAAATGAAACGCCAAACATCTGTGACTTCCCCTTCTTCTGACACTGACACTGTGCAGTGAGGCCTCCAGGACAGCATCAACAGGGAAAAAAATGCATATTTATTTTTATTCCATCCTATTTTGTCTTATTTATCTATAGACATGGTTTCATGTAGCCCAGGCTGGTCTCCAACTCAATATATAAATGAGAATGGCCTTGAATTTCTGGTCTTCCTGCCTCCATCTCCTGAGTTCTAGAATTATAGGTGTATATCACTACACTCAGTTTAATATCTGTATTTTATTTTTACTTTATGTGCGTGATTTGCCTGCATACATGACTGTATACCATATGCATGCAGTGCCTGAGGAGGCCAGATCCCCTGGAACTAGAGTTAAGACCATTGCCTCTGCCAAATGGTTGCTGGGATTAGAACCTGAGTCTTCTGGAAGAGCAGTCACTGCTCTTAACTGACGAGCCGACTCTCCAGCTCTTAGCATCTCTGTGTAACATCTCTGACTATCTTGGAACTCACTCCATAGACCAGACTGACCTCAAACTCACAGACTGCCCCAGTCTCCCTAGTGCTGATTAAAGGCCTGTGCCACCACCACCTGGCAAACTCCCTCTTTTTAAGCTGCCTTTGTTCATAGTATTTTATCATGGCAACAGAAAAGAAACTGATGCAGAATATTGGTACCAGGAATGGGGCATCCTATAAAGACCAGGAGTGGGGTGTTGCTGCAAAGACCAGGAGTGGGCATCATTGCAAGGGCCAGGTGTGGGTGTCACTGTACAGACCAGGAGTGGGGTGTCACTGTACAGACCAGGAGTGGGGTGTCACTGTATAGACCAGGAGTGGGGTGTCACTGTACAGATCAGGAGTGAGGTGTCACTGTACAGACCAGGAGTGGGGTGTCACTATACAGACCAGGAGTGGGGTGTCACTGTATAGACCAGGAGTGGGGTGTCACTGTATAGACCAGGAGTGGGGTGTCACTGTACAGACCAGGAGTG